TGTTCTATATAAATGTTTCTAACATGGAGGTAACATTTATATATGTATTAGTTTGAATAAATCATTTTAATAAAGTTACATTATAGGCTGACTGAAAATATAAACGATGTTGTACATAATGCAGATAGCTTAGGCAAAAAAGTGGTAAAAATCTAATAGTTTGTATTTATAAATAATGATGTATTCATTGCTACTTTTTTCTATATAAATGTTACCTAACATTTGGCAACATTCATAATTGTGTATAATGCCTAATTATAAAGTAAGTTATAATAGATAATAATTATAAGTAAAATGAATTAGTAAATAAAGAAAACTAGTTAGAATGTATATAATAGTTGTATGATGTATTGTCTAGATTGGTGAAATGGAGAATGAGACTAACTAGGGTGAAAAAAAATGAATATTAATATGTGAATGGTACTTTGTTTAACATCTACCTGTTTCTACAGATACAGTACAGACGCATTTATAAATGGGCTTGATGTTTTTTTGAACTAAATATGTTGTATTGATGGTTATATATACTATTTTTATCAAATAGTTAATATGAAATAATAAACATGTAAATTGTTTTATTTTCTGTAAAAATTGTTTTCTTGATAAATTTCAATTGTTTATCACTATGTATATCACTTATAGTATTATATTACTTGTAATTTTTTGTTTTATTTATTTTCAGTATGTTATTCATATGCATGCATTAAATATTGTGGGGAAGTCAAGTTTTGATGTTTTAGGTGCATTATAGCTATTATTTTTCAAAGATTTGTAGGATTTAACAAGATTTAAATTTTATTTTGTTTATTAATTTTATTTGGAGAAAGCGATCCCATAGATTAAGAGAACTCAATAATATTAGTGTGATAAAATTTGCTTTTATGATTTAATATGACAACTCAAATAACATTAAATCAAAAAAACTTGAAAACAAATCATGCTTTTTTACCATGAAAAATCAATAAGTATTCCTTGGAAAGGTGTTCCTAATATCTATGGAAATTCCATGGTTTTTCCATGGATGGAAAATCATTGAATATCCATGGTATTTGGAACACTTTTCCATGAAAAACTTAAAGATTTTTCATGGGAAGTTCATGTGTTTCCCATGAAAACTCATGGTTTTTCCATGGAAAACTCATTTTTTTTCCATGGAAAACTCATGGTTTTTTCATGGGAACGTGTTCCAAATACCCATGGTTTTTCCATGGGTTTTTTTTCTAAAATTCCCGTGGGAAATTTTCGTACGGGAAATGTATACAACGTGGTAACTACAGCCCGGTCATCTTTAAATTAAGATTTCTCCAAAACCACAAATGCTTTTTGTTTAATTTTTTTTTCAATTAAACCTTACTTTCTTATCTTAAATGGTGTTGATAAATTTTTGTTTACAAATTAATGATTTGCAAAATGTTTTTGAAACAAGTTGAGATGCGTTGTGATTTTTTTTTGCAAAAATCCATCGACTTCCTATCGCTTGATTGCTAAACGCACAAATGTCCCAAAATCTACAGTCTTAGATATTATAAATAAGTTCAAGACTACTCAAAGCTTCAAAAAAAAACTTGGAAGTGGAAGAAAAAAAAACTTTCCATAAATCCAAAAACGTAAAGTTGATTTTACGTTCAATAGCAAGAAATCCAAATCAGTCACAGCGAGATCTAGCAAGAAAATTTAAGACTTCTCGTTCTTATATCAAAAAAGTACTTAAAAATGCTGGAATTAAAGCATTTTATAAAAAAAATACACCTAAGAGAAGCTTAAGTTGTAATATTAAAGGAATTCGACGCGCAAAGAAGTTGGTTAAAATAATGGTAGATAAAAATATGTGCATAATTGAAGACGACAAAATGTATTGCAAGACGGATTTTTCACAACTTCCTGGTCAACAGATTTACTATGAAAACAAAGATAAACCTGCCGATGATTAATTAAAATATATTCGACGAGAAAAATTTGCATCCAAGTTCCTTGTGTGGCAAGCAATTTGTAGCTGTGGTATGCAGTCCTCTTGTTTTGTCACTAAAAAGACCTTGACTGCCAATCTCTACATCAAAGAATGCCTGCAAAAAAGACTTTTGCCTTTTATAAAAAAACACAAATACCGATGTCTCTTTTGGCCCAATCTTTCTGCCTTTCACTATTCTAAAAAAGTTTTACAGTGGTGCAAAGATAATAATGTGAAAGTTGTTCCTAAAGATGCGAATCCTTCAAATTGTCCTGAAGAGCGCAAGATTGAAGATTTTTGGGCAATAGTTAAAGGAATTCTTCGTAAGACAGGTGGACTAACAAATAATAATATGGACTTATAAAAAAAGTGGATTAATGCCACCAATATGGTGAAAAAAGAAAAAATCTGTAAAATGATGGCATCAACCCGCTATAAAGTTCGATTTCTTGCCAAGCAACCCATCAAGTCCCTGAAAATTTAGTTGAAACTCTAATTTATGTAAACACATTTAATAATAAAAAAATTGAACTAAAGAGGATTTATGGTTTTAGAGAAATCTCAATTTAAAGTTGACCGGATTTTTCCGTGTCCACCCGATAGCAGTAAAAACCATCATTTCCAATTTCATATAACTTCTATAAGCCAGCTATAATAATATCAACAAAGGTTTAATTAATGTAAACTAGTACAAATGACCAGAGCAACATCATAAGGTTAAGTCATTCTGGCACGCTATATGTGACGTTTTAAACTCAAGTATTTTATCAGAGGTATCAGCACTCGGTAAAAAAGATTTGACTTCTAAAAAAGAACTTTATTTCGAAATTAGAAGAGAAATTTTAATTTAAACACTTTAACAAACTTCAAGAGTTGCTGACGTTTACGTGCCTTTACGATGCCGTCATAAAATGCTATTATTCCGAGGAAAAAAAAAAGGTTGTCAATGAAAAAAATATCAATAAATTTTACTCTCATTCTACAATTTCAAATCCAAGCCATTCTATTGCACCACTTGGAAGTTCTGATGGTTCCCTATGTTTAGACGATTGTAAAATAAGCGACTTTTGAAAAACTTTTTTACTTTTGTCTGCATCACTGACAATGGTGTTAATCCTCCATTAGATTTTCCTTCCCATCAAAATTGTTTAATTGAGATATTATCTTCATATGATTCTGTTGTTTCATTGTTACAAAAACTCCCAGCAAAGTTTTCCCTCAAATATTTTAAAAATAATTTGCAACTACCATTGTCATTCCTCTTCCTATTTTTTTCGAAATAAAAATGACCATTAACATTATACCAAAAATTTGGGAATTAGCAATAAATTGTCTACTTTTTAAAAAGGGTAACTTTTCCCTACCAACCAACTGCAAACCTATTTCAAAAACCTGTATTGTTTGCAAAGTTGGGGAATCAATCATTGCTAAAGCCATAAAAAATTACTTTGGTATTTTTGGTAAATAATATTGTTTCTCAACATCAATTTGGTTTAATAAATTGCAGATACATATGCTCACAAACGCTGCCATCTTCAAACAAATAGAACACTGCCGTAAATATTTAAAAAAAGTTGACAACATATAAATTAATTTTACAAAACCACTTGACTTGGTAACTCATTCTAGACTAATATTCAAATTTCTTTTCTATGGTGCTGTTAAATTAGATTTAAATTTTGTAACTAATTGCTTTTAATGCGTGTGTGTTGGAGCCTCTTGTTCCGAAAACATACCAGTTAAGAATGGAATACCTCAAGGGTCTATACTAAGACCTATATTGTTCTTAATATTTATTAACAACATAGCTTATTGCACTGATGGAGATTGTGGCATTTAGCTGTTTGCAGATGATATTAATTTTTACTAATCGAGAAATTATTACCACAACATTTGTCTTGTAAACACTTTTTAAAAAATTTTGGCATGGTCCAATAATTGGCAACTTAAAATATCAATCAACAAATGTTTTCACTTATGCTATTAAAAAAACAGTATACCAACCATATTCATTAAACTCCTTTATCCATATTGAAACCATTTATTCAATTTTGGATATAAGAATCACCATGTCCTTTGATACAAACTTTTTTAATCACTGTTCTTGTATTTCAAGCATTGTACACTCTGGCCTTTACCTACTTTTAAAATCTTTTATCTCTAACAATTGTCAACTTTTGTTGAAAGCTTATGTGTTATGTGGGACCTATTTTTTAAAATCTTGTAGCCCATTTTGAAGCCCACATCTTTTAAAAGATGGAGGCTTCAAAATATATATATATATATATATATATATATATATATATATATATATATATATATACATATATATATATATTATATATATATATATAATAATATATATATATAATATATATATATATATATATATATATATATATATATATATATATATATATATATATATATATATATCTATATATATCTATATATATATATATATATATATATATCTATATATATATATATATATATATATATATATATATATATATATATATATATATATATATATATATATATATATATATATATATATATATATATCTATATATATCTATATATATATATCTATATATATCTATATATATATATATATATATATATATATATATATATATATATATATATATATATATATATATATATATATATATATATATATATATATATATAATATATATGAATGCAATATTGAAGATATTTGAGTTTGAAGACAAAGGACACTATATCCTGTGCTCTCTTATACCATAAATTCTATTGTGTTGATAAATAAGGATCTTGCTCAGAATAATTATTTTTTTATTGGTTAGCTGGCAATTTAAAGGACAACGAACAGACGGTTTGGTTTTGTATTATTTGTTTTTTTAGTTTTTAATTTAAAAACATATAGTTATAAACAAGTACAAACTGTTGTGCTAAATTAGAAAAACAAACATAACTAATGAATCTTTTTTCTAATTAGTGCGTACATATTTTTATACTGAACTTTCTAAATAAAAATAAAAAGATTTTATTATGAAATTTTTACCAACTTTTCCATTGGTTATCAGAAGATCAGAGATGGAACCATTTTGTGGAGCATCCCATATACTAGAGCCATACACTTTAATGTTTTTAAAATCTTGAGCAAAAGAGTTTTCTACTCTATGAATGTTAACATTATTCAAATCCACAGCAAAAAAATATTTTCCCTCTTGTAACCACTGGCATATTTTAATATTATGCCATTGATCTAACATAAGCGGATCTGTTTTAACAGAGTAATTACTAATACCATTAATTGCAGCAGAAATAACAAGACTTCCAGAACCATCTTCGTGAAAACAAACACTTAAACTTTTGTCGCCATAAACGTTATGGTAATTACACAAAGTTACATGAAGAACGTTTTTCAATCCCTTTGAGTAACTCGCAGGATTTAAATTAAAAGAAATAGTGTACTCCTTTTTCAAAACACTGAATGCTCCAAGCATTGTTCCTTGATTTAATGAAAACTCATGTTTAAGGTTGACATAATCTAAACAGTATTAGAATAAAAGAAAGAACTTTTTTTTTATCATTGTATGGCTGCATATCAATTATAAAATATATAATAATGCAATTATTTAAAAATATAATATTTACTAAGTAAAAAGGTTATAATAAAACAACTTTTAAAATTTAATAAACATAAATAAATATATACATACATATATATAAATATATATACATACATATATATATATATATATATATATATATATATATATATATATATATATATATATATATATATATATATATATATATATATATATATATAAGTAGTAAGAGATTGCCGGTTCTGGGCCATTTTCATTTTTAACCATACTTTCAACCATATATTTTAAAAAATATAGGGTTTATTTCTAACCATGATGTGAATAATTATTTATATAAGAAATAATTTTTCAAATTTATATAAATTTGAAAAAATTCAATTTTTTCAAATAAGTGTTAATTTTTTATTTCTTGTCGAAAAATGTCACGTGATTTTCTTGCTGTTTCTAAAAGCGTTATCAACTGTATCTATATCCTATTGAACGTAAATATTCAAATGCTTCAAGGTAACCAGCTAATTTAGCATGAAAAATTGCTTTTTCTGTACCTTTATATCCAATAGAATGTAAATCTATTAATACTTTAAGAAGTTGTTTAGCATTTTTTCCTTTACGTTCAGCATCATTAATTATCCATTCATCACATTCATATCCTAATTCAATTAAATATTTTACTACTTCAAGGTGATCATTCATTGCAGCACAATAAACTGCATCTTTTCCTTTATAACCTAATGAATGTAAATATTTAACTACTTCAAGGTGACCATTTTCTGCAGCACAAGTAATTGTCCATTCTTTTACTCTATATCCTATTGAACGTAAATATTTTAATACTTCAAGGTGACCATTTTCTGCAGCATAATTAATTGCCCATTCTTCTCCTTTATATCCAATAGAATGTAAATACTTTACTACTTCAAGATGACCATTTATTGCAGCACAAGTAATTGTCCATTCTTTTCCTCTATATCCTAATTCATGTAAATATTTTACTACATCAAGATGACCATTTTTTGCAGCACAAGTAATTGCCGATTTTGTTCCTCTATATCCTATTGAATGTAAATATTTTAGTACATCTTTTGTACTTTTTTTACCTAATTGAATTAATAATTTAATTAAATCAAGTTTACCTATACTTACAGCAAAATCAACCTTATTACCTTTTTTATACCCATAGTTTTTTAATATTGTAGTAATATAATATATTTGAGATGAAGGTTCAATTATGTTTTTTATTAAAAAATTATTATTCTCAATATTATTTTCTAGATTCATTCTTTTTTATATACACAAGAAAATTATTTAAATCATTTTTCTTGTTTTAATGCGCATGTGCTAAGATTTACTTAAGCATAGTAGTAGAATTGTCTTAACAATATTATATAGAGTCTCTTATAGCGTATAATTCTAGTTCTGTTGCTACAAATGGAAGAGTACTATTTTGTATATAATTATCAAATATAGGCATAGCAGGTTGTCCATTATATACATAGTTCATATTTTGACATACAGGTGCCCAATAACCACCACTTGTATCTAGTGTAAGTACTGCTCCAGAATTCATCAAGCTTTTTGTAGTTGTCAAATTTAAACCGCAAAATCCTTGTCCTAATTCTGTACATCCAAATGGTGTATCTGTTGATATGAGTTGTGCAACATTTTGGTAAGCCATAGACATCATTGGAAGGAATGCTTGTTTAAATATAATACTATTCCATACACCATTAATTTTATATTTAAGTCTATATTTATAATAGCCATCTTTGTTTTTATACTGCCAATTAGTAAATAATGTACTATATAATTGAGAAGTAGATGGAGTAGAATTAAATACTCTATAGGCGCTATAATAATTGTTAAGAAATAAATATCCAGCAACTTGTCTAACTAATAATACTTCTCCAGAATTATATGGTGTTCCATAGCCACCACCATATATATTATTCATTGCAATTGGTATTGCTTCAAAAAATTTGTTTGCTAAAAATATTTGTTGTCTTGAATCATAATGTACTCCATCGAAATTTGCACTCCTAAGACTGGGAGGCATACCATCTAGAGATATACTAGCTGTATATGGAGAAAAATTTATAATATTTTTTAATGCATCTTGAACTTGAGTTGCTGTAGTTGAGTTTGCTTGAACCCATGAAGATAGCATTTGAAATGTAATGAATAGCATTTTATTTGCTTTTATTTGTGAGATTGGCAATGTATCAAATTGGCTTGATGAGTATGCAATATAATCTCTAATGGTTTGTATAAAATTCATTAGAATATATGCATAGTTATCACACCAACCGGTTTTAGAATCATCTTCTCCTTGACTCCAAGTCATACAGCAAAACTCTGCGTTATAATGTGATGAAATGTAATTGATTTTACGAGTTAAATTTTTAAAACCAGTTCCATACGGCATAAAATAATCATTACTGAAACTTTTAGCAGTTAGCATGCATGGAAGTATCATTAAACATTCATCAGGATTTATCATATTTAATGTATTCGCACCTTCAGCATCTTGCATTATAAGCCCAGCAAGTATTGAACCATATCCTGCCCAACAATTATTATCTGTTTCATTTACATCTGGTCTCAATGAACAAGGAAGTAACACATCATTTTGTCCATTACCCATCGCAAATTGGACTATTCGTCTGTTCATATAATTTACATTAGTTATTGATTGAGATAAACCCCATTCTCTACCAGCATATGTATTTGATTGACCAGCTATAATCAAAACTTTATATTTATGTTGATAAGGAATTAAGCGATCTACATAATTCTTTGTAGCTGCATCCTGTGCATTAGTAGGATTAGCTACATTAATCAATTTATTTGAATTCAAATTAATATTTGCATTCATACTATTAGTTCCATCTATTTTTAGATAGGAACTGCTAGAAATCTGATTATTATCTACATAATTCTTTGTAGCTGCATTCTGTGCATTAGTAGGATTAGCTACATTAATCAATTTATTTGAATTCAAATTAATATTTGCATTCATACTATTAGTTCCATCTAATTTTAGACATGCACTGCTAGAAGTTTGATTATTATCTACATAATACTTTGTAGCTGCATCTTGTGCATCTGTAGGATCAGCTACATTGATCAATTTATGTGAATTCAAATCAACATCAGTAGTGGCTGTATTGCCAACATTAATGTTGATATTTAATCCATCTGTTGTGTAACCATATAATGAATTACTACCAGCTATATTCATACTCATTTTTTATATACTATACATATTTTTTTTAATTCAATATAATGAGTTTTCAATACTTTGAAAATCAACACCTTCATCAAGCTTTTTTAATACATAAAGGCACAAGTGTCCGCAAAAAGAAGTGTCTCCAAACTGAATTCTTTTACTATTATAATAAACAGGACTGTGTAAATATTGAACAAGTTCAACTGGAGGTGGTAGTGCATAAGAGTCAAAACTTAATTTTTCTTCTCCATCTTTATACCAACAAATCCAATGAAATCCACTCGTACTTGAATCTCCAGTATTTAATATTCCACATTCTTTGTTTTGTGTATTTTTAGGTAATTCATCTCTTACAAATACACCTCTAAAATTTTTAATTTTTAATTTTTTTGCTGCTTTTATTAACTGAAAGTTTGTTAAGGGCTCATTTGGTAATATAATTCCTTCAACATTGATATGTTTGTCCATTTTTATTACTTTATTAGATTTTTTTAGATCTCTTTAGATATAAAAAATTACTTACCTGTGTGTTTGCCTGCCTGCTTATTTAAGTTTATAATGTCCATATGCTAATGTGTGAATACCATCTTCTTGAATTACTCTTTTATCATCTTCTGCACTCAATGCTATTTTGTTCATTTCTTCAGTATAAACATCATGACAATGAGATCTTATGACATTCATTTTTCTCATTTGATCTTTCTTATTTATAAGGCAGTCTTTATAATCCTCATGTGTAATATAATTTTTTACTACATTTCTCTTTACTCCCTTACATCTCTTTTTATCTTCTTCATCTATTTTGTAAGAGTACAATTTTGATCTGAGTCCTATAAATTCTGTAATTTGTTTTCCTGCTGACTCATCTTTAAACATTCCTATTACTTTCTTATTTACAACTACTTTAAATCCATTTTGAACAGCTGGATGATCTTTATTAAATTCACTTGTATCAAATTTACTTTCAATATCGTTTGCAATATCTGCATAAAAGTCTTTTGTTTTTATTTCATAGATTAATGAATCTGTATCTGTATATAATAGTTTAGCTTTATCTTTATATTTATTTTTTATGTAATCATAATGAAACTCATACATTAAAGTCTTGCTCAAATCTAAAATACACATGCCTAAATAAATAGGCTTATTATATACAAGTTTTGTTCTCTTCATATGAATAGCTATTAAATTAGCATCAAATATTGTTCTACTTTCATAATTTGGTTTTGATGCTAATTTAATAGCTTCTTCTCTTTTTGTAACTAATCTCACATCAACTCTGTTTTCAATGTTCTCCATTGTCTTTCCAAATACTGAGTTATTCATAAGTTTGAAAAAGTCTTTTTCAAAATCATTTGTTGCTTTAGTCCTTAGATCTGTATTGAGTTTAATGTATTTACTCAACCATGCACTTTCTTCAAACTTTACTCCTCTATGAATTTTAGTAATCTTTAATCCTAACCTTTCATAAAGTTTCAAGTTTTCATAGTGTATGATATAATTTTTCTTATGATTTAAATTAGGTATTAATTTATCAACTTTGTCTATTTTTAATCTTTCAGGAGCTAGAGGATAATCATTATGAACATCATGTAAATGTTCAGGATATTCTAAATCTACTTCTAATATGCAAGAAGTAGATTTCCAATTTTTTAATTCCTCTTCATTCATCCATTTAAATCCATGTGTTGGAAGGGGTTTACTCATTGC